TTTAGATATGTAATATATCTCCAAATGTTACATGTACAATATATTCAAGACTTGAAAAGTCTTTGTGTCCCAGATGGAGGACTGTTTGCATGTTTGTTTGTTTGTTTAAGACAGGGTCTCACTACATAGTTCAAGCTGGGTTTGAACTCACTATGTGGCCCAGGCTGGCCTCGAACTCACAGCGATCCTCTTGTTTCAGCCCTCAGTGCTGGGATTACAGGTGTGCGCCAACACACCTACTCTTGGAGGACTGACAGATTCAAGACACACAACTAATTCCTTTGACTGATTTGCTTGGTCAGTAAGGAGCATTCTGACTATAAAGTTACTTTAATTTCCTTAGGCCTGTGTATAATATATGGGTCATATTAGGAGCATTAATTTAAATTGTATTTAATTTTGTCTCTACCTGCTGACAAGACTTCTTATCCCTTACAAATTCCTTGAACTCTTGCCTTCCGCTACTCACAAACAATGGTTCATAAGTGTTCACAGAAGAACCCACACAGCCAGTTCTTCAGCACCTCTTTCTGGGCACAGGTACCAACACATCACACTTGTGGTTCCCAAGCTTTCAAACTAAATAAAGAAATGTGCTGGAACGGGATTGAATGCCACTCAATGCCGTTGGAAACTAAAAATAGTGGCATTTTTTTGCCAAGTAAAGATTTTTTTAAATGCCATGTATTAGTATAATTGTTTTACAAGGATAGTTTACAAATTTAAAGTTATTTATCTTGAAGTGTTTGACATATACAAAATAAGATAAAATGAACACTTGCGAACCCACCACCCAACTTAATGTAAAGATAATCAGTAAGTAGTTTTGTATCTGCAGGCTTTGTTTCTGTACCAACCTTCTGCTTACCGCCAGATATGGCCACTAGCTTGAATTTGTCTTTAGCATTATCTTCCTTGCTATATATAAACTTTAATCACATATCTGTTTCCTTAAACAATATTGTTTCAATTTTATTGTTACTATACTGAGGTTCAAACAAATTATATCCTATGTACTCTTCCGAAATTAGCTTACCTCATTATGTATTCAGACATATTCTTATGTTTACTAATTTAAAAAATATATATTACATTGGGTACAGCATCATATTTTATTCATGTTCCTGAAATAAACATTTGTATCCTTTTAATAGTCTTTCTATTATAAATAATGGGGCCAGGGATGTAGCTCAGTGGTAAAGCACTAGTCTGGCATGCTCAGGTTCCTAGGTTCAAATCCTAGTACCACAAAAACAAATAAATACATAAAATAAGCAATGCTGCCAGTACAGTTTTGCAAGAATTTCTTAAAAGATACATGAGAAAGATGTTTCTAAATCTCTTTTGCAAAGTGATCAAATGCATTTACATCTCTTGCACCACTGTATAATATCCTCCAGAGTTTCATTTTCACTAACTCTAGTATTATCTAATTTCTGAACATTGATCAATCCAGACACTGTATTATCTCTTTGAGGGTTTAATCTATAATTTACAGACTAATAATAAGATTGAGAAATCTTTCAGATTTTGTCACCTCACAAATTAGATGCTTAGCATCACAGTCATCCATTTTCAAACTGGAAAATTGACTTGTATCAGCTTTTTATTTTTATTTTTTAAATTAACTTCATTGGTACACTTTTGATATACATAATGATCACATTCACTGCAGGAAATTTGCACCTGTACACGATATATCTTGATTCTTTTTCCCCATTCCCCTCCTCTCCCTTCAGCCCTTTTCCCGCTCCTTATTTACAAAAGCTTTGTATCCATGTCTTCCTTCTATTTCCTTTTTTCCTTTTCTCTTCCTTCTCTTTCCCCTCTCTCCTCCCTTGTTCCTCTTGAACATTTTCTTCTTACTTCCCAATATCTATCATCTATTTTGGTCCTTAATGTAGGAGCTGTTTAAATGTATACTCTAGATATTATCTGTCGATGGTGGGTGTTGTACCTTGAATGTAATTGATGCACATAATTTTTCTCATGCAGTTCTCAGCATTCTGCGGGTCCAGCACAGGTGTCTTTCCATGCTGACATGTTCTCCCTATACAACTGATGGCTCATGCTTTTGTGGGCTAACCAGTTTACAAAGCTCTCACACAAATCTTATCACGGTCTCTCAGTAACTTTTAAAAGAAAAGATGAGTGTTATTATTCTTGTTTTATAGATAAGGAAACTGAGTGGTTTGCCCAAGGTGGTAGGGCTAATAAGTCTTTAAAGTCTGCAATCTGTATCCTCCTTATGATTATATGATGCCTCAGCTGTTTGCAGATTGTGAACTCTTCATTGAAGAAAATGCTGCATCCGAGCTTTACCTCAGTCTCTCCTCCTCCTTCCTCTCCTCTTCATCTTTGCCCTCCTCTTCTCTTCTCCCTCTTCTTCCTCTCTCTTTTGCATATAATTCAAAATATAGCTTTAGTTTATAAAGTTCATTTAAAATCCATTATCTGTAAGTTGAATGAATGAGGAAAAGCAGCAAAAAATGTTAAAAGGATTTTTTGAGAGTTTGGGAGAATATTAGAAATTACAAGTTACCTGTTGTGTAGGACACTACATTTTAAAACCTAACAAGTCTATTACATAACGAGGAGCTGAGTTCAAGCACAGCATTTTCTTTTTGTTAATCTCCTAGAGAGTTAAGAGGAGGTATATCAGGAATAAAGAGTAGAAAATATATTTTTAAACATTTATTATTATTATTATCTAAATTGGTTGCTCTTTGCAACCAATAACCAATCTGCAATTATAAAATACCATCTATTTGATATATCAGATACAACTAGTACCTATAATTTTGTAATTAGCATAAATATTGACCTTATCATGGAATATAATATTGGTAGGATGGTGATTCCATCACTCAGTCTCCATCTGAAGCTTAGCACTTGGACAGTTGAGTGCATATTTACTTTCTGGGAGATCCAAGGAAAGCAGGTTAAGAGATATCCAAATTAATTCTCAAAGATTTGAGATTTTGAAAGGTAGTACTTTTTACTTTCTGGAGTTATAAAATACATAAATTACTAGATAGATAAATAAATTCTCAAGTTAATCGACTACTAAATGTAAACTTTTTAACCTTCTGGTATTTCCATAGGTGATTCTATCTTTATGTACATTACAAACACCAAAGAAATCTGTGTTTGAGGAAACTAGCAGGAACAAGAAAGGACCTGGGGATATTTGAGAACATAGAAGTCCTACTCTGAGTTATTTTAATGATCAGATAATAGTTAAACACTTAAGCACTTCCTGGGCACATCCCTTGATGAATAATACAGAGATAGGTCCACATCACCTCTTCTCCAAAGAGAAAAGTGTTTTACTAAATTACTAAATATAGTAATTTAGTATAGCCTGACTTTTGGAATAGTATTAATGCACCTGCAACTATATGTGTAATATTAACCCATCAAATAGTCCTACATAAGTGTCTGATTTCAGATTGGTTGGCTTATCCCCCCTTTTTATGAAGTACTGTCTTTTGTATGTGTTTTGATTTGAGTCTGAGAGGTATGTGTATTGTATGATAAATACTGTATGTCCTATAATAAGCTCTCCGTGTGTATTTCTTTTATGAGTCAGGCATTATATTAGGTTCATGCAGCTCAGCTGGACTAGAGGATAATTACACAAAAGCAGCATAAGAGAGAGGTGTGCCCTAGCGGAAGAGGAAATTAAGGACAATGGAATTCAGATCTGTGTTGAGAGAGGAGGTGAGCTCTGTGCTGGTGATTCTGAGAGCCACATACTTCAGAGTCATGTGTAAGGATGTGGGTCATTAAGAATGACCCGTGCACTTCTAATGTAAGAGGAGAGTCATTCCTAAACTGGTCAGGCTTGTGGAATCATCCAGTCCAGTGGATCTCAAGGAAGCAAATTATTTGAGGGGAAAGGAATTTATATTCTTAAGTACATTTTCAAATCAACTGTTAAACAAAGAGATTTGTAGATAAGACAGCCATATAATTCAAAATACACTTTGAAACAAGTACAATTGGTGGGACATTGGGACCACAGACCCTAACAGGGAAATGAAAAATATGGTCACCTTATTTCTGGAAGGAAAAGTGTCCAAGGCTTTTTATGAGGTGAGTGTAGGAGGGTTGATCTGATAAAAATTTCTCTTGGGAGAAAGAAATAGTTTGACATGCACGGGGGCTTCCTGTACTCTTTTTGAAAGGCAAGTCAGGATAAGCAAAGAACAATGATTTTTAAGGACTTCACAAGGGCCAGAGTATTAAAAGGGTGTTTTGTTTTAATTTTAGAAGCGGAAAGAAATGGGGTCTTGGACCGTGCCCTGTGGATATTAGTGGGGGAAAGACAGGAAGAGGAGAGGTGCGGGGAGGAGGAGGAAGGGAGGAAGGAGAAGAAAGGGGAACGGGAGGGGAGCGAGAGAGGGCAATGGAGGGAGAGGAAGGAAAGGGGAAGGAAAAAACTATAATAACAAGAACAAGAGAATGAGGCAGTTAGGAAGAAGAGCAACGAGAAAGTAGTGCGGTGGGTGGGAAGCATCTGAGATTATGAACACTAGGGGCAATAGATGAGACTTTAGGACATGGCTGACATGGTGTCTCACCAACCAGATTAATCAGGCCACGACCTCTGAGGGACCCTGCGTGACAAGGCAGCGCCATGAGAGAAGACAGTGAGCTCAGCTGGAAAGCACTGTCCTCTGGCTCTCTGGGAACGTGACCCCACGGGCTCCGGTGACACCCTGTGTCCCTGAGTTGTCTGGAGGCAGTGTCCAGGGTCTGCACCCCAGATCACCCTGGACCTCTGATGGGATGCAGACAGCAGACCCTACTGCAAACGCTCCACAAGATAACCAGCTCAACACCTGCGAAAGATCAGTCCTGGTCTCTCCAGGACTTTTCCCCGCGGCCCCGCCCACTCCGGGCCAGGCCCCGCCCACTCCGGGCCAGGCCCCGCCCACCCGGCCCCAGGCCCGCCCCTTTCCCAGTCCGCACCTTAAATTCCCAGGTCCTCCGCCCTTGCGGGGGTCGCACGGGGAACTCGCGTCTGCGCCGACTTCCGGAGTGGGCTCCTGCGCGTGCGCGCCCGGTCGGGGCCTGGGCCCCCGTGACTGGCACTCTGTTCGGGCGGGCGGCTGGCGGCGGGCTTTTCAAATTTCTTTGGGGAGAGTGGCGACGGCCGTGACCGTTGGCATCGGAGATGGAGGGGCAGGCGCAGTGGGAGCGCGAGCCGCGCCCGGCCGGGCTTTCGGCCCCCCAGGTGAGGGGCGGCGGCCGCCGCGGCGCAGTCGGGGTCGGGAAGCCTCACCCC